CAGGTATCTAAAAAAAAAAAAAGATGTACTGTGTCTCACACAGATTTCACTGTGAAGAACATTTTAAGAATCATTAAGGTAAATGAACTAATGAGAAAAGTGCTCATATCTTACTAGAATCTGAGGAAACATTTTAAGCACGTTCAAGGCAGAGAATCGCCTCAGTCTTCAGCATAATTTAAATCTTTATCCTTGAAGTAATGTCACTTGAGAAGCTCCATTTATTCAATACTGATGACTTTTAATAACACATTCTATAGAAGCTTGTCACTGCTGAGCTTCGACTTGTCGGGTTTTATCCTTAGAGAGCTGGAGTGAGTGAAAGAGGTAACATATCCCTTAGGATCTAGTTCAGTATCACTTATCTGTTCTTTATGGCCTAATTAGAAGTCTAATCGCCTCCTAAGGACATCCTTTATTATTCTCATCAGAGCTGTGCAGACGGCAAGACGCGGTGTGAGTGAGGGGAAGTGTACTTTTGTTACACTGCCAGCTTTGTCCTCGTGTTTTGTTCTGCACTCGTGTCTGCAGGTGTTTTATTGTAGCTTTCCTTTTGTTTACATCTGAGGATAGGCTGTTCTTTTTTCACAGTGCTGATTGCACCATTTATAACTAAAAAGATTTTGCATGTCAGTTGTTTGTAACTGGACAGCTGTTTGTATACCTGCTGAATAAACATTATCCTTTGTTGATTGCTGTCATTTCTACTTTTCGGGGAGTATTAATTTTTTGCATCTCTAAACAGAAAGTATCAGTAATTTGCCTCCGGCTCTAGTCAGGAAGCAATTTGTTTTTAACAGGTGGGGTGTCTTTTCTTTTTAAAAATTTAATCACTTTTCTGTTACTAATGGTTATTGTTTCAGGTCAGACAATTTCACTTCCATGAAACTGTTTATTAGGACTGCAGGAAATCACTACTCTGGATAAATACATGTTTTACTGCACCACGTCAAGCCTGCACCTCTATAAAGTATTGTCTAATGCATACCCTGCAGGATAAATTATCACTTTAAATATAAAAAAGGTTTATTAACTTCAAATGACATTTCCTTCTTATTTGATGAGCTTGATTTAATCTGAATTATACTCAGCAAAGCTTCACTTAATTATTTTTTTTATATCAGCTGATTTTTCTCCGCACAATTATTTAATCAAAATGTATTTTCTTACTCTGTTTATGAGGAGAAAGACAGATTCCCTTCGGTTTCCCCAACTTAGAGCGAGGTCAAGAAGTCTTGAGTCTGTTAGGCTACGTTCACACTACAGGCCTTGATGCTCAATTTCGATTTTTTTTTTGTGAAATCTGATTTTTTTTTTTTTTTGTGTTGCCGTTCACATTTCCAAATATATGCGACTTGTATGTGATCTCCTGTGTAAACTGCACTCATACAGCAGTGTGAAAAATCAATAAAATTTTACTTGGTCTGTTTTTTTTTGTTTTGTTTTTTCAATTCAAGATCATCTACTTGAAAAGTTATTGCCGCCTCACTCTGTCTGGAATTTTACTATTACACACAACGTATAAAGTTATGAAATGGTTTAGATAAGACCGAAATGTTAAAGACTCAAAATTAAAAGACTGTATGATGGTTTATCTTTTCTTCTGATGTCAGTGTTGAGTTTTTTTCATTCATTTATTGCAGGTCTAACCATAGATAACAGATGACTGGCTTGAACTTTTATTGTTCGATTACACAAACATTATCATAAAAAGGGGTAAAGTATACGAGACTCCAGAACATGAAATGCTTTTATGATTACTACAAGCTGCAGCAAACACAGACAAACGGCAGAGCTATTATCACGTGTCTCTAATTTATGATGGGCTTGTTAAACTGCTGCTGAGAGTTTGTCCTTACCCAGTCATCTGGAAAAAAAAGACTTCCCTCCTTGTCAAAGTTGCTTAAGTCTTTACACCTGCCTGTTTCTCCACCAGCCAGTGTGTTTACAGTGAGAACTGTCTGTTCGTTAACGTGCACTGAACCATTCTCACCAGCCAGCAAAGACAAGTTCTAGCTGGTTGACATGCTCACTTTGACTTTCGAAGTCCAACAAAGTGCATCTAAAACCTCCCGCTATGAGGTCATGGTTACCACTGTCAGATGCTATTTTCTGCTGAGACCTCAGCAATTTTGCTGCAGAAGAAATATCCGGGCTGTGCAGGTGGAGAAGATAAGTGACAGTACATTTGCCACAGGTCCTAAGGTTGTTCCCGACAAATTTTATCTGAGAATCTTAGCCAGGGAAGTTTACTGGAAGATGTGTTTTATTTATTATCTCTACTATATTTCAATCTGAAAAACTCACATAAAGAGAAAACACAATAAGGAGAAATTTATTGATACAATTACTTTGTCTTTGGCGCTCAGACCTCGGCAGGAAACATAGCGCTTAATTTTGATAGATATGCATGAACAGGGTCAAAGAACAGGGCTGTTTCCCCCCAGGCCTGAAACTGGTGGTTTAGTGGAGATGGATGAAGTTGGTCAGTCTGTAGACTGCTAGTTAGAGAGACGGTATGCTGAGCTTTATGGGGAGATCCAGTGGATTGCGTGAGCTGATGCTAAAGCTTCACTCAAGGACCTGGAAGATGAAAGTCTAGATAAATAACATGGGTTGAGAGAACCTGCCCATGATGAGCAAGCATGAAGCGACAGTGGAGAGGAAGAACTCCCCGTTGGGAAGAAACCTCTGGCAGAATTAGGCTCATCATGGCGGCCTTCTGCTGAACCGGTTAAGATGAGACAGGCAACGCAGTAAGGTCCAGGAGGAATGACACTCTGATGAAGTTTTAGCTACGAAGGTGGAGGAGTGGCTGGAGGTGGGTTGAAACGGTGTCATATGTATTAAGTCACACAGCGCATCCACCGCCTGCGCACAAGAAGTGCGTATCGGAGGCCTTTTAGGATGAACTTTGGATGCTGATTGGCTTTCATGGAGGTGTGGTTCTAAGCTGATTAGCTGTGTCGCTGGTGGATTTAGGAAAGGAATGAGTTTCTTCAGTTGAAGTTCCACCTAGGCTCCATTTATCCAAAAAAAAGGGAGAAAGGGAAGAATAGTTTTGAGTGCTGAATTAAATAACAGTACAACTATCTCTTTTGTTTTCAGGGTTGCAGTATTTTAAATTTTCGTTAAAGTTACTATATTATTGATCCTTGATAGATGTAAAGATTTCAATGTTTTTCTAAGGGAAACTTGAACTGCTGCGCCTATTTAATGATGGACTTTTTGCAAGTAGATAAAATGATTGGAGAATAAATTAGAAAAAAAAAAAAGAAGAAACAGAATCTGAGAAAACAGAAAAGATTCTCTCAAAAACTTTTATTGATTAAAACCTTTTTGCGACCAAACTGGTAGATGGGCGCTAGGAGCCGCTTTCCAAAAATTGTCTCGGAAAACCCTGCTCATTGTTCCTCCTGTCTGGTGGACCTGAAACGGCGCTAATGTACATCTATGAAATGTTTACATCCCAGGAATCTGCTTAGAGGAGACCAGCTGGCTAGGTTAGCATATCGATGCTTCACGTTGGCTGCTCTTCTCAAAAAATCGCCTGTATAATAAAAGAGTGTGGGATCTGTCACCAAATTGTCTGGGAGGTGGAGATTTGCTTAAAAAAAAGAGCTAACTAATCTAAAAGTAAATTACATAAAAAAACAAACATGACCCTTATAAGATCCGGCATATTTTTTTGCTCTGTGATGTAGGTTTTAATCTAGATTATTTTAATGTGGCTTTGAATTTACAAGTAACACCATGACTTCCAAAGTGGTCTGCTATCAGATTCCAAAACTCATAGGGAGACTTCAGTTTTGTGACAGTGCAGAGATGACAGTTGCCTTCAGGGGTGCTAAATCTGGAAGTGTCTGGCCTAGTGGCCAAAAGTTAGATATAGGCTGAATCCCAGGACGGCCCCTAAACACTTCGCCTGAACACCAACCCTCCCTTTTCGCGTTCCCCCGGAGTGTCCGCCACATCAAATGCCATTCCCAAAGAACGTAGTGGGAAGGGCATGTGGACCATTCATTCCCTAAATATCAAGTCTGCATTAGTGCAGGCTAGCTGGAATTTGGCAGCAGATGTCAAGGCGAAATAGTGGCGAAGGAAACCTGTACATTCAAATGTAAGATCCACTGGTTTGCTGCAACTTCTTCACACTGACAGAAAATCAAATCAATCAATCCCTAAATGGATGGTCCTCTTTCAAATAGATTTGACTGCATATATTTTTCTTTAAGAAAGGAGGAAATGTTTGATTTCATGTGAACCTGCACCACAGAGCGACAGTTATGCACAGGTGGAGGCACTGTGTTGCCAATGACTGCTTTCCTTTTCTGTCGGAGGGAAGAGGCCGTCCCATTCTCATTCATTCGTTTGAAAGTACAATCTAGGCGCCTTCCACATCTGGGAGTGTGACTTCATTGGGAGTGACACTCAGTAGTTAACGGGTAGTGCTTAAGGGGTGGTTTGGGATTCAGCCATTGTCACTTTAAAGGGCAGCTTGGTGTTCAGTCCTGTCCCAAATTGTCTGAAAGACCCAATCTGCTTCACCTGCTGGTCCTGAATGCTTAGTGGCTTGGCATTGTTACCTTTGTTACCACAAAAATGTTTTAGTCTTAGTAACATCCAGTTTCATAAAATTGTGATGAAAAATTCGGCCTCCCATTGGTACAGAGTATTGTAGCTGGTCAAGTAAGCCACATGGGCCATGTTTTCTATGTCTTTATAAAGTGACATTCCTTCCAGCAGGAAATGCTGAATACCCAGAAAAGCAGAACATGAGATTAAATATAACCTTGAGGTAGACATGTATTCAAAACCGGTTTACTGGATTTAAAACCAGGAGAAATTACCTTTTGTAGTTTGGTCTGTAAAATACTTTGAGTCCATAAAATCAGTGATGAGTGAACCTGTAGGTCTAAAAAGTACTGCAAGATTGATGTTTCTTGTTCTTGTAAATTATTAATTTTGTTTGTTTTGTTTTTTTTTTTTGTTTGATAAAGTGAACCTGCTAGATTCTCGCTCCGTGATGGGAGACCTTGGATGGGTGGCTTATCCAAAGAATGGGGTAAGTCTAACCATTAAAAAAAATAATGATAATAAATAAATAAATAAAAAAAAAAAAAAAAAAAAAATATATATATATATATATATATATATATATATATAAAATACAATTTTTTTATTTTTTTTACTTTAATATTTACTTTTTTATCTTTGTTCTGTTTAGAAATAGAGGAAAGAAATCTATTTTAGGTTCTCACTGAGCATTTTTTTTTTCACAAGAACCATGTGGCTCTGAATGAAGTGAAAATTGTGTTTTTATACATTTCAGCATTATCATTTATGCTGCCACTATGTAATTATTATTTTTTTTTTGGGGGGGGGGTTCTAAAAGGGGTTGCTCATCCAGGTTTTCCATTTAATCTCTTGGTATGTCAAAACCTACTCCATACTTCCCACTTCATTATAAAGTTTAAGTGCTTCATTTTCTTTATGGAGATTAAAGGTCATTTAATTTCGAGAAACCCTTACCTCATTATCAGGGTAAATTGAATTCATGAATAAGATATTGAAAGGCCCCATGGAATAGATTATTCTCAAGCCAAAAGTTGAATATCCATCTCCAAGTATTCCCAAAGTGAAGGCCAATTAGTGCACGACTTGCTAGAGTGGTAAAAATGTAATTCTATACCATATTATACCACTTAAAAAAAAAAAAAAGAACAATAGAACGTTATAATTTACACTTGAATTTTAATGTTACCTTAATGGTCTTAAATGTTGAATATTGTTTTGAGCAACATTTTTAATTTTCACATCTGCCTTTGGGTTAACAAGATATCATCCACCACAGACTTTTGAAATTCTCCATTAAATTGGAAGTAAAATTTTTTTTTTTTATGTTCATTAGCTATCATTGAAAAATCTGACATAGTTTCTGTCTGTTTTTAAGAAGCAATAACCCACCAGGATGACGGTGCTGACTATTGCGTTTTATCTCCCATGGATATTCAAATCATGGCTCACTTTGAAGCTGCTATTTAGATTGGAAAGATAGAGCTGAAAAAGCAGGCATAGGCGCAATCATAATAAGGAAGTGATTATGTTAAGTTGTGTGTCTGTGTGTGTTTCTTCCACCAGACGTGAATAACTTTGAGGTAGATGGAGGGAAAATAAGAAACAGGAGATATTGAATTCTCTAAATGAAATTCCCATTATCTCTTAACATTTACGTACACTTTAAGATGAAAACTAGGTTATTTTCTATCTAATTTATGTTATGAAATAGAAGCACAGTCAGAGTAAAAGAAAGTAGCTTGCATGACAGTGTATAAATGATCCAGCTTTTATTAGCTTTGAAAATATATGACTAACACTGTGTGGAAGGATCCCTAAACAAACCTCAGCCAGCTTGAAAATATTTGAAGATGTAGAATTTAAAGGAGTTGTATTTCTAGCACACCCCACCAACAGAGAAATTATCCCTCTTTGGTGGGTTAAATAGCACATAATTGAAGTTGGCAATTGCAGTTTATCTTCAGTGTTTGCATCCCATCTGTAGCTCACTCCCCCTCCACACACAAATGTCCATATTCACACTTCCAGTCTTGGCTGAATAAGTTGTCGACTACCCAAAACTTTTTATCACTCGAAAGCTACTTTGGAGAGTCTGGCAGCTTTAAACTCTTCCGCTGCTTTGGAGTGATCCTATCACCACTGTTGTAAAAATACATCACCATCTGAGCTCTGCACATGGATCCCTTTGCATGGGATTTATTTGGTTATCTGTCTGATAAGTGTTGCCAAGAGCATAGCAACAACATCAACAACAAAAAATTCAATATGCAAAGAATTTTCAAGGGGACAAAGAGGAATATTTCTGCACCTTTTTTCGGCTGAGGGACACAGGTGACTGTGATGCACCAGCCTCTGCATGTATTGGCAGTAAAGTGGTTTAATGAATGTAGAAAATAAATGGATGCACAAATATGTATGTATATGCATATACATGTATCATTTAGTTGAGCAATTAAAAAAGTAAATGCTCATTGCGCTTAGATGTGACAAATATGCAATGTGCTAATCTTGTAAAAAAACAAAACAAAACATAATAATAAAACAAAAACCTGCATAAAAGCTATTTAAATCTTATAGTAAATGTGACGGTAGAAAAAAAAATTCCAATGTAGCTTAAAATTAAAAAGAAGCATTCTGTCTTTTATAGAGTAAACTGCATTTTTACATTGAATGAATGTGAACTTAAACTATTAATGGTTCAAGAAGGATTTTTTTTTTGTTTTTTGACTGATGAAAGAAGTCTAAAAAAGCCTCAATAATGGGACCATAATGCAAATAGCCCCCTGGAAATGTGATACAGCAATTTGAGGGGTTATGTGAGATGAGCTGAAAGTAGAGAAAATGGCAGTAAAGGGAGAGCTGCCAGACTGTAAAAAAGTGACAGACTGTTTCAGTTGAAGTGTGCAAGCTCAACTTATGGCAAAAAAAGTTTTCTCTGACTTTAATAGTTAAAGTTCTTATTGTAATGTTCAGAAATTATACTTTGCTACTGTTACGTCAATAAGGTTTCAATTCTATATTTTAAGACATATGCGTCCTTAAAGTATTTCCAAAATATCCTACATCCATATACTACATCAGGATAGATGACTTTCAAGAAAGCTTTATCTTTTTTATATATGATACTGCAGCATATGTTCATTGATCTTGAAGATATTTTAACATGAAGGAAAAATGAAGATCTATTTTATATTAATCAAAAACAGACTGGGTCTTTTCAGTGTGTTTTACATGCTAATTCAGATTATTTTTACTAACAGCTAACAAAAACACATTTAAAGATATATCTGTGCATCAGACTAATTAAACTGAAATGTGGGCTTAATGAAGTTTATAGCGTTTTATTTGAAAAGGTACTTTTTATCTTTTAAAAAAAATACCTTCTTCTGGAGCTGCATCATAATTCACTGAGTATAAATTTATTTAAGTTGGAGTCTCTGATTTTTGTATAAGTTGGCTTGATTCTTAAAATGATAACTAGTATGCGCCTTTTTGGAATTTGTACCACCTTAGTAGTAATCATCAGCAATTGTATGCATAATATTTAGTTGGATCTTAATAAGAAAACGTATGTCAATATGCTTCATGTGGAAGGGAAAAAGCCCATATTTGAGGCATGTTAAACCCTTGAGTGTTTGCTCAGACCTGCAATACAGTATTCTCCCTCTACTTCTATGGCAAGCTGTGATTGCCAGTAATTACAAAAAAAATGTATTATCAAAGGAGGGACTTTTTTGTTGTCAACATGTCTTTTTAGTCGTATTATTTTTACTGTTTTTTGTTCCTACATTGCTTTTAAAGAGGTCACAGATTGGCTTGGCTCTGGCTGTAGTGTAGTGGTTGACACAAGGTGGTTGCTTCTTATTTACTAGATCTTAAGGAATATTAATACCTAGAAATAGTAAAAAAAATGTCTCAAAGAATACTGTATAAAAAGGATAGATCTAACCATAAAGACTTCAGTTGCTGTCAGTTTCATTCCTTTACAACCCATCAGTGCAGTAAATCCCCAAGCCATTTTACTCCATATCCAAACATCAATAGGTGAGCGTTGATGGGTTTTGTAAAGGCCCTGCAACAAAGCAGACACCAAGAATGTAGTGGTGACAAAAGAAGGCTGATGAAATTGGCTTTGCAGGCTTACTTCATATCAGGTTTGCAATAAAAACAAATACAAACATATGACATCTAGCTGCTGGGAGCATCTAGACTTTCTTTTAAGACTAATTTCAAAGACAAGCTCTTTTTAGCTGGTATTTGATAACTTAAATTGAGACCCATGTTTGATAAACAGGTCAATTCAAACTTTCTTAGATGCCATGCTGTTATGTAATGAAGCAATATTTGAACAAATTTGCTTTGGCTCACATTTAATCTTAATATGAGGCTTTGATTTAAACCCCAAATGCTGGAAGGCAGGTTTCGGAACAGTTTATCAAGCTTGGGGGGAAAAAAGGGTTTGTCACAGTTAATGCACAAGAACACATTCAACATTGTTTTTGATTTACATTAACAAAACTACCACATGTATTTTAAGCCCTGTCCTTTACAGGGTTTGTTTGTACTATTAAGCGAAGAATAAGGTACCTACCTGATGTGATTTTGAGAAAATCACCAAATCATTCGGTCTTTGTCCGGTCTTCTGTGCAAAACAAGAAAAGAAGGCAAAAAGTGCTCTAAATTGATGTAATCTGCGTTTTGCTTGACTGAACAGCTAGTCATAAAGGTCCCTTTCATCCAGCGCCTTCACTGATTCAGTTTGCTTAATTGAGCGTAGATGAGGACAGGCAAGCATCAAACATGCTGAGGATACTGTAGAAACCATGCAGAGGCTGGGAGCATGTGCATAATGGGTGCCTCTGCTGAAAAAAGGAAGCTGCTTTTTAACAGCATGCTAACGAAGGTTTATAGAAGATGAAAGATTTTCTTTAAGATTTGCCAGTGTTGTTTTTACTTTTTCAAGTGGTGTAGGTGCAGTATACACCGAGCTCTCAGGATAAGCTGTGCATAGCTTAGCTGTACTTTTCAGTTTTAGCCAGTCTGTTGCAAATTGTTTGAATGTCTAACTTTAAGTTGGTCAATATGAGGGGGAAAAAAACATGTTTGTTTAGAACACATTTTTACTAAGTTGAAACTGTTTTAAATTATCTCATGAGTTTGATTTGGTAGTAAACTGGAAATTGGGCAGTGGTATGTAGGTATGATAACCATTTACAAGAAAAAGGACAAAACAATTATCAGTTACGCTTTCTTTTTTTTTTTTTTTTTAAAGGTGCATTCGGAATTTTTTTTTCTTTCCCATAGGTACCAGTACAATTTCCTGTCAGGGAAAATGAGCTTTCTTGTATTTTTTTTTTTAGCCACTATAGGCCCCAATATTCATTTTATTAGACAGTAATTGAGGTTACATACTCTGGAGGTGCGCATGAGTGTGACTTTCTGCACACTCCATTTACTTGGCTTGTTTGTAAAGTCTTTACTGTCATT